AACAATACATTTTCAAGAGTTCCTCCTGCTAAACAACAATCTAATATCTATCCTTGAAATCAACAAAAGCGTTGTTTTAGTAATGGTGTCTGGAACTATTTTACAAAACTATTTCATAATTTCATTAAAGTTTACTAAAATGGAACTTTTTCCCGGACACATCGCATCTTTAATCCCAGTTCTTCGAGAAACCACTAGCATTCACTCTATCGACCTAACAAGTTATAATTCCTACATATTTGCAAAGGAAAGGTGCTCAAAAACTGGGCCTCGTTCGAACGTTAACCACCCTTAATCTTAGTCAATGCCATCTCGGTTTTGATCTAATATAACCGAAATTGCCAACGTCCTTAAATAAAATTATACCTTAAAAACATCTTGACACTATGTTCAAATTATATTACCTTAATAAACGCTAAGTGGAAATATTGCCTTAACACATCTAAACTTCTCAAATAACATGCTTGACAATTGCGCCGTTAGCCCAAATACTTTGCACAAACACCACTCTTCTCTCATTAAACCTAAATGACAACGAACTTGGAGAAAATGGGTCCTTGGTCGCTAATGCGCTGAATGAAAACAAAAGCTTACAATTTCTAAACCTTTCCTGAAACATCTTTTCATTTACAATCTTTAAATTATTCTTAGAGTGCCGACTCTAATCTATTTAGATCTCTAACATATTCTTGGTGATGACCATATCATATTAATAAAAAAAAACAAAAAATACTATTCAATCCTTTCTCGAATTATTTTTTCAAATTAATCCATTAGATATTTCACATAGAAATATTCTATATGTGTATGGATAGTAACATTTACGCTATTTTTTAAATTTATTAATGCAGTCAAGAAAGATTTAGGTGGTTCCAATTTCTATTTGTGACCGCACAATTGTCAAGTCTTATACTTTTTACCTTTAATGGTGATGACGATCATGATTGATGAAATTGGGTTATAATTATAAATTTCAGTAATCATACTTCTGCTACTTTGCTAAATGTTATTCGGCTATTTTGTCAAATTTGATGAATAAAGAAAAGCCCTAAGATTTTTGAATTAAATCACTACTGTATGGCCCACCATTTAAACTTTTAAATAAATAAATTGATATTTTGAACCAGATCAGTATCAGCTTATATACGTTCGATATATACTTCTGTTGCTAACAGCCATAGATAACAGTTTGGCTCACATTACGTTATCTCCAGCCAGAAACTTTTTAATTTTTATTCCATAATTAGAAAGTTTTGGAGATAGGTCTACACTATAACAAAATTGAGAATCGAGAATCTTCTGTGCCAAATTAGTGCGAAGCAATATAGGCTAACTTTCTCATATCATATAGAAATTGAATAGCACATTATGATTGGCTATATTTGCAAAGTGACAATCAACCAATCAAATTACATTATATTCATATAATACAATTGTAAGAGATTGACCAATCAGAAGAAACTAATCTATATTGCGCAGTCAGGGTTAATTAAATAGCACTATCGATTATAAATCTGGAATTCGAAAAGGATGAATATATGCTAAATATTGTACTTGAGTCAGAATTTTTTAATTATGATGAGAAATGGATATTTTTAATAAACAAAATCACCCAATGTAATTCAAACCAG